GGGGCGGGGGGTGATGTGGGGTGGGTGGGGAGAAGGGTGCAACAATGAATTAATGGAATTCCAAAATCTCTGTAGGTGTTCATTGAAATGAAAAATAATTAAAGTATTAAAAAAAAGTATCTTACTTAACTCACATTAAAAAGTTGGGACTTTTTTCCTAGCTAAATATTTTCTGCTTTTTTTTTTGTAGAGGAAATCTGCAGAGAAGACCTTACAGAAGTGGGGCTGTATGTACTTCATGTGGCAGCACTGACAGATGCACAGATTATTTATGCAGTAAGATCAAGAAAATACATGTCCAAAGAGGGAGGGGAGCATCTATGTTACACTGAACAAGAACAATTAAGTGACTGAGCACTGATTTTTCACTATCATGTTAATATTATTCCTTTGATCAGAAGGCAAATATTATGAAAGGGTGGTTGAAGCAGAATCATCTTTAGACTTTTCTAAACTATGCAACCTCTTCTATCCTTCCTTTCTCTCTTCCTTCCCCTAAAAGGATGCCAAAGTGTCAAAGAATACATGAGAACTAACACTTATGCTTTGAAAAATACTACTGCTAACAAGACTTTGAGTGAGGACTCTTTGAGAATGACTACTTCAAAGGGTGTTCCTGTTTTTATTGTGTACTGTCAAGTAGCAACCAACCCATAACTGACCCTACAGTGGGTTTTCAGAGACAGTTAACACACAGGAAGAGATTGCCCATCTTTCTCCTATGGAACAGTTGGTGAATTTGAACCATGTACCTTTGTGTTAGCAGTACAGTTCCTTACCACTCAGCCATTAGAGCTCCCTACTTGAAAGGATGTTGTTGTTGTTATGTGTCATCGAGTCACTTGTAACTCATGACAGTCCTATGTACAATAGCTCTGAACCTTCCTCTATCCTGAGACAATCTCACTGTCTCTGATACACCCACCCTCATTACCAGTAATTGTGTCAATTCATCTCATCTGGGGTCTTCCTCTCCTGCACTGTCTCTCAATATTTCCAAGCGTGTGTGTGTGTGTGTGTGTGTGTGTGTGTGTGTGTGTGTGTGTGGTTCAGGAGACTTTATTCTTGTTATACACAGGACAGCTATGCATTGGACCCAACTGAACAGCACCTACTAGTACCTCACACACACACACACACACACACACACACACACACACACACACACACACACAGCCCCATTTCAAGGAATCATAGTCAACAGCTGAAAAGACAAAAACTACTTGTTTCGTGTACATAGAAATAACTTTAGAAGTTTATCGCTGGCCACTAATAGTAACTAAGAACAAATAAGACTACTGCAAAGGAAATAAGTCTAGCAAACCAAGAGGTAGCACTGGCCAACGACAAGGCCCTGCATCTCACCATGGATAGACAGCTCTGCATGCACTGCTTTACTTGTGGAAATGCTCTTCTTCCAAATACTGTGCCAATGTCTGTATGTAGTAAAATTTCAAGAGTTAATCCTAGTAACAAAACCATTACATTTTCAAAATACATTCACATTACATTCAGAATAACTGTTCTTTTTTATTTTACTTCTTGAATGTGTAGGTCTTTCTGTTTCTTGTGTTTCTTCTTTTACACTGACAACATGTTGGTTGAACATAATTTCGTTATCTTCTTCTTTATCATTTAGTGTAGCCACTTCAGATTTTCGCCTCTCTAAAAATGATGGTGTACAGACTGATGTGGAGTCCTGGCTATTTGTACAGTTCTGAAGATAACTGTTGGTGGCACTTCTTTTCTTTTTCATTAAAACCGATGGAGGAAAATTTTAATTGATTCCTTGATTTATTCCTCAGTAATTTTTCTTTGTGTTTAAATTGCTTCTCCATCCATAGCTTTTCTCTACATGTTTGATTTTTATTGTGTCTTTTCACTGCAGGAGTTGATGGTTTTGAAAACAGAACATCTCAGTCTTTGAAAGTTCTTCATGTACCTTCATAAAATCACACTTCAAGAATCTTCCACCAAAAAGGTAGTTGTTCATTGTTTCCGCAACTATCTTGACTACATCATCTGACTCAAACCCCACAAAGGCATAACCTTTGCTCTTTCCAGACTTTTTTACTTCTGGACAATTTAAGTCATGTAACAGTGCCAGATTGGGAGGGATATAACTTGAGTTGGGGTTCAAAAAGGCCTGGATGAGTTCTCTACTCCTCATCTATCCAGAATGCTCTCTCTTCTCGTGCAGCCTCAGCCGCATCCCTGAGACACGATGGTGAAGGTCGGAGTAAACAGATTTGGCCGTGTTGGGTGCCTGGTCACCAGGGCTGCTTTTCACTCTAGCAAAGTGGATATTGTCACCATCAATAATCCCTCCATTGACCTCAACTACATTGTCTATATGTTCCAATATGATTCTACCCATGGCAAGTTCAACGGCACTATCAAGGCTGAGAATGGGAAGCTGGTCATCAATGGGAAAGTTATCACTATCTTCCAGGAGCGAGATACTGCCAACATCAAGTGGGGTGATGCTGGTGCTGAGTATGTTTTGGAGTCCACTGGTGTCTTCACAACCTGGAAGAAGGCTGGGGCTCACTTGAAGGGTGGTGCCAAACAGGTAATCATCTCTGCTCCTTCTGCCAATGCCTCCATGTTTGTGATGGGCATGAACCATGAAAAGTATGACAACTCTCTCAAGATTGTCAGCAATGCCTCC